TACACACACACACATACACACACACACATACACACACACACAAAAATACACAATCCCAAGGCACAATGTTTTCCTATGGCATAGATTTCCTATTTCTCCAGAAACAGGCAATTTTGAGGTAAAGGTTAAGAGCTGAGGTGGCGCAGGGGTTAGTGTGCAGTACTGCAGGCCACTTCAGCTGTTATCTGCAGTTCAGCGGTTCAAATCTCACCGGCTCAATGTTGACTCAGCCTTCCATCCTTCCGAGGTGGGTGAAATGAGGACCCAGATTGTTGGGGAAAATATGCTGACTCTGTAAACCGCTTAGAGAGGGCTGAAAGCCCTATGAAGCGGTATATAAGTCTAACTGCTATTGCTAAGTCCTCAACCTACAACCGCAATTGAACCCAAAATTAATGTTGCTAAGAGAGAACTTTGTTAAGTGAGCTTTGCCTCATTTTACAACTTTTTTTGCCACATTTAAGTGAATCACTGCAGTTGTTAAATTAATTTAACAACATTGTTAAGTGAAATCTGGTTTCGTCATTGAATTTGCTTGTCAGAATGTGGCAAAAGATAATCACATGACCCTACAACTGTCATAAATGTGAGTCAGTTGTCAAGCATCCTAATGTAAATCACGTGACGATGGGGATGTTCCAAGTCATAAATGTGAAAAATGGCCATGAAGTCACTTTTTTCAGTGCCGTTTTAACTTCGGTCACCAAGCAAACTATTGTAAATGGAACATTGTTTAATTTCATATTTTAAATACGTCGATTTAAAGGTTTATATTAAGTTTTAGCTTTAAGTACGATACACTTATTCTCTTTTGTGGTTTTCCTCCTCCTATTCGTTCCATTAACATAACAAATAATTTTATTATGTTGGTCATTACTTTGTTTTCCATCTTTTTCTTTTGAATGATTTTGGTGCATTTGCTTTAATGCTTGCAATAGAAATATGGAAGGAAAAAATGAGTCGCCTTCAAAACAGCCGGCCTGTATTTTAGTCCTATGCATTAAAAAAAACTTTTTGCAGCAATGCCTTGTTGTAGTTTGAGCCTGTTTGCCCGACACAAAACCAGCAATTTCACCTATTGCTGTTATTCTTCCTGTTTTTTTTGCCATGCTATGGCTTCTCCTCTTTCTGGAGACCATGGTTCTGCCTTGTTGGCAAAATTCCCAAGAATTCCCATCTGGAGGCTACTAAACAGCTTGCCAAGGTTTTTATTCAGATGAAAGGAGGTGTGACAAGAAAAAATGAGCCCACAATTAATTCTGAACTTTTTATTAAAAACGAAAGTACAAAAAAATCAGGAATCATTCAATAACAAAATTTTACTCTTAAAAATGAAAATATAGTACAAGGATTGCATCACTTTGTCATTGGTTGGATTGTCAAGCTTGCTGAAGATCTCCATCACAGAGAGACTTTACATAAGCATTTTGTATCATGTGCAAAAAGGGTTCATTGCTTGTTTTTAAGATTCTTAGCTTTTTAAATTCTCTTTTATTTGCGAAGTGTGTGTGTGTGTGTGTGATTTATCTCAATAAATCACCATTAGGTATGATCAACTGCAAAAACTAAAAGAACCACAAGATGGCAGCAAGGAGACACAATAATGTGGCAGGTTTTGTCGCCATCTACTGGTGGTCTAGATTTGCCTGCCTGTAAACAATTCAACCTAAAAATGACTAGTCAAAAAGTTTGGCAATCTTCTCCTTTTTTCCTGCTCAAGTATTACCTGTTTCTTCTGATTGTTTAAGCCCATTTTTTTAACAACAAAAAAACCCCACAATATACCACATGTGAGAGTATTTTTGATATCCATACTACTGCTTAAAAATAACCAAAGGATGGTGAAGAGCTTGCCATCACATTCTCTGCATCCATTTGATAAACCAACTTTAATAAAGATGGAACTATCTAGCTAATTGGTGCTTTGCTTCACAGTATAACCAACCATACTTGGGCTGCAAAATTTGAACTATCCCAACAGAGTTTCGCTACCCATTAATGGTCATTCAGATTTCTGTCCTTCAGATTTGCTTAGTTCACAGGAACTTTCCAATTCTTTCTTCTGGAATATCACCATGAGTGTGAGAGTTGAGGTATGAGGGCGGCCATGTTTTTACATACTTGCTAGCAACCAGGTAAAATCTCCCAATATTATTTCAACACAACTCCTTGGTCTTATTCTCCCAAATTGGAGACCCATCAAACTGGATTGACTCCGCTCAGAATTAAGGACTGTATGCTTTACAGTGGTGTGAACAAAGGGTGATGATCCTAAAATGTCAATCACATTAATGTCAATGCTACCTCACATTAATGTCAATGCTATATATTTACACAACATTTAACACAGTATGTAACTTCAGTATCTCTTTGCATTTACTTAAAAGCACTTCATAAAGAATTTCTTCTGAAGATGCAGTTGGTCTATGTTTCTATCTATCTGTTAAACATATGCTGCCAACAATATTAGGGTAGAATAATCCCATTGTCCAAAATTGTAGTTATGGTGGGATTTTTCTTCTACAATAGCAGTTGGTCTACATTTCTCTCTCTTTTAAACATATGTGGACAACAGAGTACAATGATCCCATTGTGCAAAAGTGTAGTTAGGGAGGGATTTTCCTTTTAGTCTACACTAGAAAGAGACAGGAAGCCCTTAGAGGATTTGTGCTAATGGATCACGTGCAAAACCACACCAATAACTGCAAAGAAATTTTCAGGAGTTCACAACAGAGCCATGGAAAATGGTATTTGCTAAGCTGTATACATCAAGGGGGTGTGCTGTAGAAGCTGGAGAAACAACTGGCAACTCTTTTGTCAATCACAATGCAAAAACCATGCTGCAGGTGAAGATTTTCATAGCATTTCAATAACAACATTGTCACGGGACAAATGCTACTAAATACCGCTTTGGCATTACAGAAATAAATGGATTTTTACCCAGTATTAAAGAGTTATGTGATTCCAATTCTAAATGAAGTGTGAGCGTCTTTGACCATCACTTACCTTTCTGGAATAAAACACTGAACTCTAAGAAACATTTAACTGCTTTTACAGAAACTGCGGTTAAAAGTTACTTACTTTTTTTAAAAAAAAAAGTGTCTTCAGCAGCAGTCTACAGGTGATAATATTAATTCTCACAACAAAAGGCACTATTTATTGATTCGCTCAGGCTCCTCTAAATTACATCCCTCGCTTCAGTTGGTATCTTACTGCATCCGGACCTTTGCAAAAAAAAAAAGCAAAAAAGCTTTGATTGTCCTGATTTTTGTTAGCGTGCTATTTTTTTTTTATTAAAAAAAAAACCTCAAACCTTAAAAACAAATCTTTCCGTACAAAAACTGTTCCTGCATTAAAAGGAGGGACTCAACTAATCTGAAGCCTGTTTCCGGCCTCAGAGTAATCAGACTTTTATCCGTCCGGCCCAATTAGAACATGAAACAAATCCTGTTTTTCCCAAATGGGATTCACCGTTTTTCATTCTCACAAAAGGAACAGCTTGTTTGGAGTTACTGCGTGGTACAGCCTACTCAGGACTGTACCGTTTCAAGCTGCACGAAGGGGTGCAGGTATATGAATGCTCCCCTCGATGGAAGCGGGTTTAGGGTGCAGCTTTCCAATATGGGATTTTTCTTCTCCAGCAATCAGAAATGGCACTTTTTTGGATGGATCTTCCAGGTGCTATGCTAAGTGTACAACTCAGCTGTCACCATCCCGATGTGAAAAAAAGGAAACAGTCTTAACTTAGGGAATCTATTTTGCTTTCTCCTTTACACTCTGTTGTCAGAGTCGGTTCAGCAAATGCAACCACACCAGAGTGACAACACCAACAGGACAGCACAGGTTGAATCACTTGTTACATGTCTTCTTAGGCGCATGGATTCCATGCATACACTGTATGACCAACAGAAATTTGCCGAAACAAATGAAATGCAACTCTCCCATTTCCAAACCCAAACCAAAAATCCCTGGATGATTGTTCACGGACCCACAACAGCTTCTTAGCATTCCTGTTATCTGTAGCATGTGCCATTGTGGAATTTGGATAATGGGACCTTGAACTGGTCTCAGTGGTGGTTAACAGAGGAACTAAATACTTCATCCAATTCTGTGGATGGTGCAACTACTTCTGACTATACTTCAAAAGCAGAATTTCCTGGGTCTTCCACAAGTTCTTTTTATGGATGTCTAAGGATTCTCCCATCCTCTTCTTTTGTTTAAGAGACCAGAAAGGCTCCAAAGAAACTGGCTTCTTTATCCATGTCCACCAGTTCCTCATAGCTGATGGAGACAAAAATCCTATCATTCCTCCTTAACTGAAACACTCCACCCTGGTATATGGAGTACAATCCATATTCTGCTTGTTTAGACCAACAACTGGTTCTTGCACTTTTCATTAGCAGAATGGCTTCTGGGTAATAATCTGTAAATTTGGAAATGTACTGAACCATCTGCTTTGGATTCCTAACGCTCTCCGAGTCAGGATCTGCATTGGGTTCAACGCCTTCCGATTCCCGGAAACGAAAATAAGTCTGTGCATAAATGTAATAAAATCCAGGTTGCTGTATGATAAGTTCTCCATTGTTCAGCAATACGTTGTGAAGAAAGGAAGGGTACACCGAAGATTGCCAAGAGATTATTTTAAATCCCAAATTGTTTCTGATAGGGGTACCTGTGATAGATTGAAAAAGGCAGAAAATAGTTTAGGCATGTAAAACACGAAACGAATCCCGCTTCTTTTTAAAAAGGCAGATAATGCAAATTTTGCATTTTCTTAGCAGATTTTATTCCAATATCATCATCATCATCTCGGTGACCCCATAATCCTTTGAGGGATGGAGTCTGGGCAACAGAATGGAGCTGAGTGTTTACTGGCCAGATGCCCTTCCTGTCACCAATGCGGAGTTTTGTTCAGCAGATATATTCTCACTATGCCCAGAGAGAGAAATATCTTCCTTTACCTAGGATTGAACTCACAGCTTCTTGATTGTGAGGCAAGAGCTCCACCTCTAGGACAACACACCACTCAGCTTTTATTTCAATATGTGAGTCCTAAATCCCAATGCCCATACCGTATTTTTCGGAATATAAGACGCACTGGAGTATATGACGCAGCAAGGTTTTGAAGAGGAAAATTATTTTTTTTAAAAAGCTTTTGTACTCTGCAAACCTCCCAAAAATGGCCTGAAAACGGGCCCGTTGTTTTTTTTAATTAAAAAAAGGGTATGAATAGCCTTTCGGAAGCTTATAGAGTGCTGCTGGGGGCAAAAAATGGTCCATTTTCTGCTCATTTCTGCCCTCCCCCAGGAGCTCTCTGAAAGCCTCATACAGGCTCTGCATGGCCATTTTGGTGAAGGGGGCAGAGTTTCAGGAGGCAAAAAATGCTGTATAAGATGCACCCAGATTATCAGCCTCTTTTGAGGGAAAAACATGCGTCTTATACTCCAAAAAATATGGTGTGTATGATCACCATTCATATGGATTAAGGGAAGTGACCCATGTTACCTTTGTCATACAAGTTGCAAAATGGAAAGTTTTACCAAGGCTTTGGACCAGCTCTCTTCCAAGACTCTACAAGAAGTCCTCAACTTGTAACAGCTCACTCAGCGATCATTCAAAGTTGCAACGGCATTGAGAAAAGTGACTTATGACAATTTTTCACACTTAGAATTGTTGCAGCATCCATTTGCTCACCTGATCAAAATCCAGAAGCTTGGCAACCAGTTCATATTTATGACGATTGCAGTGTCCTGGGGTCATATGATCCCCTTTTGCGACCTTCTGACAAGCAAAGTCAATGGGGAAGCCAAATTCACTTCACAACCTCAGTTACTAATTTAATAAAAAAAGAGGGTGAAAATCGGTGCATCTTATACAATGATTACAGCATTTTTGGACTCCCGAAACCCTACCCCCTTTGCAAAAATGGCCGTGCATAGCCTTTAGGAGGCTTATAAAGTGCTCTTGGGGGCTGGGGAGGGGCAAAAACGAGCAAAAAAGGCCCATTTTTTGCTCATTTCTGCCCTCCCCAGCCCCAAGGAGCACTCTGGAAGCCTCCTAAAGGCTATGCATGGCCGTTTTTGCAAAGAGGGTAGGGTTTCTGGAGTCCAAAAATGCTATATTCATTGTATAAGACGCACCGATATTCTACCTTTTTTTTTTTTTTGAGGGAAAAAGGTGCGTCTTATACTCTGAAAAATATGTAATTTGGATTAGATAAATGCAGAGAATACAAGTGCTTTTGAAAAATAGTGTATTTATAGGCCACATAGAAGATTTGGCTTTCCTTAAAAATGCAATACAAGTAGCCTCTTAATTATACATCAAGAACATGTATAATAATGCCTACACGTGTATTTGGGGAGGGAACATTAAATAATTAAAAGTATCTAGCAAAAGATTATGATGGGCTAAGACCTAAACTTTCGTATTTACCACTTGATCAAGTGAAATCATTACAACTTAAAGCAGGGATAATTAACTTCCACTCCACTGATTTTAATGCAAATTGATTTAACTGAAATAATTACGTTCATCCAGTCCAGGTTTCACAAGCCTAATAGCACAGGGAAGCAGACTGCGCTCATCCACTCTGTTTTCATTTGAGTTTTAGGACATGAAAATGTTTACTTTCACTATGGTGGAAAGCCGAGAATGGTAGATTCTGAGCCGAGTTTGTTAAATTTTCTGGAAAGCCTGCTAGGATTGGCCTCTGGGTCCGCCCCTTCTTAACATATTAACTTTGTCTTGATTTATGTATCACATTTGCATAGCGTGTGAAGGCAGCCCTCAGTGAAGAAATGGGAAAAACCAAAAGTCTGGTTGTTATGATAAATCCCCTTTACAAGATTGTCCCTCTCTCACAATGTGTGTTTCAAGGCCATCCACTATCCTAAAACTCTTCATGTCTATAATCTTCAATGGGGCAAGAAGGTGTACTGTAATGTGATGTCTATGGATACTCCCAATCATCCAGGTCATGCTTGTCCCTGTAGGAAGTTAAAACCCACCCCTCTCCTAGAAAATGAAACATTTTAAGAAATATTAAAAGGGCAGAATATTTTCCCCTAAAAGGGGGGCAGAAACTCAACCTTTATCAATGGGACATTAAGGCCTGAGCCAGTCTATTCTACATAACAAAGATCTATCTCCTTCAGGCACAGCCATAATAGAAATCCCAAAGTCCTTTCATCACCCAGCAAGAGTCAACTAAGCTTGGGACTCAGGATGGCCTACAGAGTTGCCCCTGCACGGCCCCATTGGAATCTGACAACCAATCAGAATGCAAGCTCAAATTCAAAAGCCCAGAGAGGGCATAAAAACCAGGACACTCTCGGCATCTCTGTCTCTTTTTCTTGAAGATCTTCAAGGCATGTGATCATGTCCACCATTAAAAACCATCTTTCCAAGCAGCTCCCATGAATCCAGTGTTTTTTCCCCCACTTGGAAATGAACGCAGATGGACATTTCTTCCAATATCCCAAAGGTACTTTTATTTTCAAAAAGCAACTGGACTTTGCCACCCCACCCCCATGCCCCACCTGAAAACATTTGTTTTCTCATCCAAGAAGCTTCATCAGTTTTAACTGACTGGTGGGGAACCGGAAGGATTTATATTCTTTGCAGTTTTCTGGTGATTATCTGGTCATTAGCTCCCTCTCTGAGAGTTGTTGAGGCTAGCAGTCCCAAGAAGTTTCCATACTTGTTTACAATCTGATTTTGGTGAGCCTCAGGGTACAAATAAACCCCCAAATAGCCTCAAGGACCTTCTCAGAATGCTAATGACCAGAGTTCTTCAAAGAATATAAACTTTCCATTCCCCACAGTTCTGTTAAAACTGAAGAAGCTTCTTGGATGAGAAGTAAAATGTGTTTCAAAGGGGCGGGGGGGGGGGAACTAAGAAAGTCCAGTTACTTTTTAGAAATAAAAGTGTCGTGGCCCACCAGTGGAGCTGGCAACAGAGTCGGACAGTGAGGAGGTTGGGAAGGAACATGGGCCAGTCCTGGAGGCTGGGGAAGGCTCCGACGAGGGCTCTGCATCAGAGGTAGAGATGGGGCTGAGGTCGTCTGGCAGTGATCAGATGCCTACGGAGCTAGACAGCAGTGAGGCAGAGGAACAGCTGGAGCCTGTTCCCAGTGTGCGCATGCGCAGAGCTGCCAGAAGAAAAGAACAACTCAGAAATCAAGGTAGACTTGGTAGTAAGGTCACAGTTGGAAGGTGACTGGCCCCTCCCATAGGAAATAAATGAGTAGCAAAAGGGGACTGGGCTTTTGCAGGAAACAATTCGTTCAGTTGTTAGATTCGTTTCAGGAGTGTGAAGATCTGTCCATGAATCTCAGAGACTCTGTGCCCAGTCTTTCCTTACACAGCACCTCATTTGGAAAATATTTATATGGCAGCTTTCCCAAGCTAGATAAGGTCTGTAGTCATAAATATTCCTTTAAAAGACTGTTTGCCAGGCCTTGCTGAATTCACATTGTTTAATAAAGGGGTTTTTGTTGAGACCAGGACTCTGCCTCATGCTTTTTGGGGAAGCCTAATAAAAAGTACCTTTGGGGTGTACTGTAACGATTAACAATTAAATGGGCTAACTTGGAGAAAGTGTCCAAAATCTCAGTGAAATTAAGATTTGGAAAATTTTATGAAACATTTCATCACAAACAATAGAACACGAAGTATTTTATGACGTAATACAAAATATCACGTCCAATGGATAGGATTTACGTTCCTACCTGGGAAAAGGCCACTATTTTTGGAGTATGGGCCTGCCTAATAATAGTTTTGCTTTCATTTTCTGGATTCGCTTTTACAAAAGAAAACAGGGATTTAAGGGTTGCTATGTAATTATCAGCTTCTGCTCTTTCTTAGAAGGAAAAAGGTACTTGTCAAATTTGATTCCTGGTATTTGTATGGATACAATAAAGCAGCTTTGTTGTGTCTGTGGAAATGTGGAAATGGTTCCCGCTGCCTTTGCCTGAAATCTATTTTGATTTCAGCCTACAACAATGGGAAAGGTATTTACCTGAAATCTCCCATTCAACCATTAACCAGGCCCTACCCTGTTTAGTTTCCAAGCTCAGACAAGTGCTGCCATCTATCTATAAAAGAAATACTGTATTTTTCGGAGTGTAAGACACACTTTCCCCCCCCTAAAAGAGGTTGAAATTTTGAGTGTGTCTTATACACCGAATGTAGCCTCACCCACCCCCACCCTTTGGCTTCTGCCTCCCAGTCATTTGCCTCCTTGCAGCAAACAGCCTATTTCAGTTTAAGCTTCAGCTGATTAGCAGCTGTTTTGTCAGTTGGGTTGACCCCCCGACCATCAGCTGTTTCAAGCTGCAGGGATTGCTATTGCCTATTGCAGTCTCCATGCACCTCATTTTTGGCCTCCACATCCCATTTTTGGCCTCTGCACTTTGGCCCCATTTTCTGCCCATTCCAATCCCCGCTGCCCGGAACGGGTAGAAAATGGCGTGTGCGGAGGCCAAAAACGGGATGCAGAGAAGGCAGCAATAGGCAATGGTAACTCCTGCAGCTTGAAACAGGTGATCATCGGGAGGCCCATCCAACCGAAAATCAGTTGCTTGTGCTAATCAGGCTATGCAGAAGCTGAAACGGGTTGTTTGCTGTTTACTGCAAGGAGGAAAATTGCTGGGAGGCAGGCAGATTTTTTTTCTTGTTTTCCTCCTGAAAAGCTAGGTGCGTCTTATACGTCGGAGTGTCTTATACTCTGAAAAATACAGTAAACCTATTCATCTAAACAGTAGCCACTTTCCCCAGAAGAAGGCAACGTCTTACTTTGTACAAATAAAGTTCTCCTTGCATTTCTGCTTGAGGTGAGATGAGCTGCCACTCGGGGGTTCCTTGGTACGTCTCTTGCAACGGTATCTAAAGAAATATTGTCTGGAGAGAAAGAAATGCCAACATTTTATTTCCTATCAGGAACTCCTTTTAAAATCTATGTTAACCTTCGCTTTATCGTACCAGAAACATCCATGCCACCCACATCTCAGATCGTGTCCTATTTCTCAGGGATGTCTAGCACTTTAGGGAACTAGTTAAAATGGAAACCATTGAAGAACTCAATGGGACTGTTCTTTCAGCAGAGGTGACGGCTTGGTCCTCCTTTCCATCTTCCCCCACTACTGTAGCTGAGGTAAAATGTCCACATATTTATTCAGCATCTCCTCGGGATCACTGACAAAAGTTTTGTCCGTCACTTACAGGAAGACTAAACTTCAGACCTTCTGCAAATTAAACTGTGCTCTGCCGCTTGACTGTGGCCTCCATAAATGGTATTATCCCCTTATCCACTTACGGATAATGCAGGAAGGACCAGTTCAATTTAATCATTTCCTTAAGACACAGAAGTGCCTCCTAGAGCAGAGTGCCCCACATTCAGCTTCTTTGAATAATCTCAATTACATCATAATCTGTCTTTGAATGAATATCTCATTCATTTCCTAAGTGCAACAAAGCAGCCATTCATGAATCATTAATCATAAACTTTATCAACCTTGTGTTGAAGCAGATGTTCCTTCTTCTGCACGACTCTTGGCCACCATCTGCAATTGCAAATTACAATTACAAATATAATTAATTATCTTTCCCCCCCTCCTGATCGTAAATCCTAACACTGGATTTATATCCTTTCATAGATAGATAGATAGATAGATAGATAGATAGATAGATAGATAGATAGATAGATAGATAGATAGATAGATAGA